GCCTTGCAACTGTTACACTCAAGCTACAACGGTATCCCAGTCACCGACCGATTGCACCGCCTGTTGCTTTTCTAAGAACACTTGTAAGACCGTGGTAAGACACTTGAGAGTGTGTGACTTTACTCCTTGACCACATCCTATAGTAGCTGATAGAAAAATACATACTTATGTGTTTTCTTGTTTGATGCTAACAATGACAGGTTACAACACGTACCGATATGAGACATTAATGATGCATAAGCCACGCACTATTGCTACTACACCTCCTCCCGCAGGTCAATCTATTCTTTCTTCCCCGCCTACTTATGATGGTATTGGTGCTGATGAGTACATTGAGTGGAAAACTAAAATCGATAATATTTTTGCACAAAGTTATATGTGCGAATGGAGAAAAATTAAAAATACAACTAGTATTTTGAGACAATCTGCATCAACTTGGTGGGAGTCTTTAAGTTTTTCAGATAAACCTCACACATTGAATTTTATGAAAGATCTTATGAGAGAAAATTTTGTTAATCCATCTCTTGTAATTAATTCAAATGATGAGGTGCATCAACTAGATCAATCTCTTGTTATTCCTCCTGCTATGCCTAACCTTTTACAGGATAATGTACAAAAGAGCGAGGATGATGAGACAGAAAATGAGATGCTCAAAGCCTCGTGTGAAAATTCAGAACCATCAACTATTACTCCTGCTAAACATGAGAGCAAAGGTAATGTCCATGATGCTAAACTCACGGAAGGTGAGAGTTCTCTTGATGTGCTGAATTTTTCCACCAATCATGCTATGATAGAGTAAATTTTAGTGAAGCCTTCGTTTAATTTACCTTTGTCACAAGATGATTTGCTTGATGTTTCTTATGACGAATATGACTTGCATGATGATATTTATATTATACCCATGCAATCATTGAAGAATGATCATGCTATATATGTGCTGAAATCGAACATTTGTGCTGAAAATAGACTTGTTATTCATAATGCTAGTGAAGTTGATAGGCTGAAATTGTTGTCTTTTTTAAATACTTTGGGTTACATTGAATTTAATGTTCCGTGTAATCTTAGTTCTTTAGAGGAGAAACTTTATGCATATGCTGATTTGCCATGGTTCTCTAGACATACATATCATGTTTTTGGCAAATATAATAACCAATGACAATATTTAATACAACGAGTTTATATTTGTACAAATCCGAATTCTCATTTTATTGTGCAAAGTAATAATCAACTAGAGGACAGTAAAATCAACACTGTTGTTATGTCATATTCCTCTAGTTTTGCTTTTAAAACACAAGTGGAATTCAAAGAAATGGAGCATATGTTTCTTATTAGTACTAATCTTTTGCATGATAGTATTGGCAAAGATCGTGTGTATTTTAATCGAGCAGACTACATGTCTGTAGGACAAGACATGCTACAAACCTAGACATGTGGTCATATTCTTTCTCACAACAATGTCCATTCCCATTATTTTGGAAACCTCGTTTGTCCTCATGTTGTATAGGATCGACTTCAAGCAAAATCGACGCTGAGGACGGCTTTTCATCAAGAAAGGGATGATGATAAGGACATGAGCTCCATGCATACGACCATGCTACAACTATGCCGCCAAGACCGCTTGCTGTGAACCAGGGCCCTAGTTCTTGATCTTGTTCGCCTGTGGCGATTAGTCCTTTCGAATAAAGACTTGAACTCCTTCTCGTTATCATAAGCCTCATATTTATTTGTAATTTCATATTGCGTTCATCCCGTTCTTGCTTGTGTTCTCGATTCGCTAGCAGGAAAGCCTTCTCGGCGAGGTCAATCGCGATCGCGTGGTTGATAACCAACGGAGCAGTGGTGTAACGGTTGCGAGGGTCCGAATCAGTCTTGGTTCAAAGCCTAGATCGTGAACGTCGAGTCTCCACCAATCGACGCTATCGCACCTATCGGAAGATCGGGCCTTGTCTACATCATCTACCCCTTAATCCGTTTAGAAATACTAGTTCCAACACCAGCCTCAAAGCCTGAGTAGCGCCGATGAGGGTGTCTGCCCGCAAGTACCCCTACTGACACTGTCTTGCCATGACCATGATCGCCTCCCCCGCACGGTGTAGCTCCCGCATGCATGCACGCCACAACAAGTCACATCAAATCACTTTTCTATCGATCGATTTAGGTGCTAATGTTTGGGACTTATGACTATACCACAACCAAATATTAGCGTCAGATAAAATATTAACGAACAACAATTGGTTGGTATAACTTTCTACATATATTTAGTTGTTCTCTCGGACAATCGGCCGGTAAAAACACATATTAGAGTCCAACTATTGATAAATATAGCCCATTTTCATTTTGATGCGCCCAGCCCAGCGTCCACTTACCTCAACGTCAAATGCATCCCATGGCTCGACGATCTCCTCTTCATCTGTCGTGGCTACATCAATCAATGCATTACCCTTGCCAATGAAGACGTGCATCAGAGTATGCATATACTCCGCCTTAGCCTCCTTGTTAAGGACGTCGTTGGCGGGCGACACGACGTCCTCCATAAGTTCCTTGGGCAACTCAAAGGTGGGGAAGAAAATACCCCACCATACTGAGAGCTTTGCTGGCGTTGACGAGTGCACTTGCTATCACGTAGCCCTCAGCGCACCCCCCGCCAAAACCATGAAAGCCTCCTCCGCACAGGACACCTCCTACATGCACACCAACAACGCAACATCATAAGTCACGACTTACATTAACTTGTAAGTTTGGTCTTTACCCATTTATAACTATACCTATGTTATAAGAGTCTTTGCCCAAAAAATAATTACAAAAAAGATGAAGATTTCACCACTAATCTCGTAGATTTAGGAAAAATGTTAGAAAATGAACTATAGAAAAACTCAAATTGGAGGTGCTCAAGATTTCACAATCTTATAAAATAAAAAACTATAGAAAAATCTTAAATTGGAGATGCTTGTTAGGTAGTTTGCTGGTTTCCAAGCTAGTGATGTTTAGAGATATCCTATCACATCAATGTTCATCAAGAAATCACAAAAACATAAATTGCAACCATCCATTTTAACTGTATAAAGGCAACCTAACAATCAAATGCACGCATAGTTAGACCCTACATGAATTAGTGTTTTTTCTTGTTTCCCTCGTAACCATCCATTTTAACTATATAAGGGCATGAGCAATATTGATCCAACTAGTGGTCCTTATAGATGAAAGGATGGTAATAGTTGTCATTATATTCCCACAATGTTGGGCCATGTAGTCATCATAGGTGGATCCCATTTTAAAATAAAGATGATATTATCAACCACCTCTTCTGATCTCTCTCCCTCTCTCCTATCAATTTCCCGTTTCACACGTAGCTCGTAGCCGCCGCCCATGGCACTGAATTCGATGCCCAAACAGCACGGCACACCCTGCCTCCCTCCTCCTAGATTAGAAGCGACACACCTCCTCTAGATCCAATGAGATCACCCTATTCAAGATCCGAGCAGCCATTACCTCTTCAAGATCCGACACTGGTATTGTTCCTTTCTATCGGTGTGGAGCCACACCGGGCCCACCCCTAGTAGTCCCCCTCCCACCCCTAGCCCTCCACCTGAATGTGCCTGCGCATCAGCAAACAACCGCTAGAGTCCGATGCGAGGACTGCGAGAGGGGAATGAGCACGGGTTTAGGGTGGCGTTGTTGCAAAGCATGTAGACGGCCGGGACAACAATCTCACAGAGCCCACGAGCGGCCGAGGTGGTGACATCACAAAGTGTGCCTCATCGTTGAGCACTTCTTGAGCGGTGCTCAACGACGCATCGGTGGAGGGCTCGTGAGGCAACCAACATCCTCAACCCCCTCCACCACGATGGTATATCATGCCATACTGGTGTAACCGATCGAATCCACCCTTGCGATTGATATCATGAGATTAAACGTGATACGAGCTCAGTAAGTGGAATTGGTGCTATCATTTATATTGAGTTAGTGATGTTGAATATCTTGGCAATTACATTTTTAATTATTTATTTCTCGGTCCCTCCATTCTAAAAAGAATAGAATTTTTGTTTCCTGACGAGAAGTCAAACAATCTCAGATTTAACTATAGGTTTATAAAAAATGATACCAAAATTTTATATTTCAAATATATTTATCATTAAAATATGTTCTACAATGAATTTAATAATACTTATTATGCATGATATACGTTAATACATCTTTTCTAAGTTTTCTTATATAATTGACTCGTTGGGAGCCGACATCTCCATTTTTTTTTGTGTGTGTGGGGGTGTAATGAGTAGACGTGGCTACGGCAGTGCCGTAGCTGGATATTTTGTTTATTTAATCTCAATTTTAATGATAGCACTGGTGCATTGGCCAGACCACAACAATCTTAACAAGAGCTGACACTACCATTTGTAGGTGGTACCGCCACAATTCAGCCTGGTCATTCGATATTACCGAACCGATCGCTTCGGTTTCCAGAGAAATTTAGTTCCTCAGAAAATATGTATCGATCGGTTCCTTCCAAAAATCGATACCGAGGAAATTCGGTTTCGGTGTTTATGGTTCGGTTTCGGCATTTACCGAAAAATACCGAATTGATCGCATGTACATGTAATAGCAAGTTCGAAAGCTAATTTTGACATAATTTGGACATGATTTCATAGAGAATAATAATGCTAAATACATACATATAAAAGTACACAAGACTATAAGAGTAGAGTACCTCAAATACATAATATAATATACTAAAATAGTGCTATCAATAATATAACAACACTCAAACTCAGTACATTTTATATAATTCGGTATTATTTGGTTCCCCAAGGTAAAGTACCAATAAATTCGGTTCCTGAACAGGGTACCGAAAAATTCGGTTTCGACATTATCGGTTCGGTTCTTGGTATTTTCGGTTCGGTTCCCGGTTCTCGGTATTTTGTGCCCAGGGTTAGCCACAATCAACAAATGAGCAGGTTGCTTGTGTGCATTTCTGCGCATCGAAGCCTGCTTCAATTCACAAGCTAGATGGCGTAGTGGGTAATGTGGACGACGTCCTCGGGCCTTGCCGGCGGATGGGTCTTGTTCTTCATCCGCAGCTGCATATACTCGTTGTACACGAACCCCCTGTACCGCGGCGTCTCGCCGATCTTGGCCGTGAACTCCGGCAGCGGCTCGATCCACTTGTCGCCATGGATGTTGAAGAAGAAGGCGAACGAGTGCCTGTGCACCGGCCTCCTCACCACCCGGTGTGTCGCGCTCTTGAGTTTGTTGTTACTCAGCACCTACAAAGTGGCTTGGCTATTTTAATTTAAACCAAGTTGATCCAACTTAATACATTTTTTTTTGTTACAACGATATAAATGTAACATGTTGATAATTGATATAAAAATATAGAATTCATGAATCCAAATAGATCAAGAAAACTCTTACGAACATCTTAAAATAAACAATAAACTTTGAAGTACTTATATAGATCGACATGCAAGAAACCAAACAAACATGAGAAGGCTGTGTTCTCAGACAGTGTTGTGTTCTCTGTTTTCGCAAACAAAAAAAGAAAGAAAAGAAAGTGTTGTGTACTTGTGTTCTCTGTACGTACCTGTATGACGTCGCCTAGGTTGACGATGATGCTGCCGTCGACGGGCTCTACCGGGACCCAGTCGCCGTCGTTGAGGACCTCGAGCCCCCCGACGCCATCCTGGATGACGAAGGTGATGCAGTTGCCGTCCTCGTGCGCGCTGATGCCGTTGACCTCCTCCTCCGTCGCCGGGAAGTAGCGCAGCGCCGCCATGAAGTCGAAGCTGCGGTCGCTATTGTAGTCCCTGAGGAAGCCCGGCGGGAGGCCCATGCACTCGTTCACGACCTCCTGGATGAGCAGCCCCAGCTCGGTGAACTTGGCGTAACACTCCTCCACTGCCTCTCTGGATGGATCGATTTGGTGGAAGTTTTCTTTTAGAAATCCCGATGAACAAACAAACAAAAGGAACAAACAATACTGCAATTTCGGCGTGCAAATTAAATTTTGCATCTCGCGTTCTGGACTGACCTGAATCCGGCTGGCTCGTCGGGGTACACGTTGAACCCGAGCTTGGGATCAAACACCAGCACGTACTCGTTCTTGTCCGCCGAGTGCGCTGGCTGCCGCGCGTAGCCCGCGGGGAGGGGCGCTTCGGAGCCCTCGGCCGCCCGGGCCCTGGCCTTGTCCTCGTCCGGCAGCGCGAAGAACGCGGCCGACAGCTCGAGCGCGCGCGCCATGAGGTGGGCCGGCACGCCGTGGTTGACGGCACGGAAGAAGCCGTGCGTCCGGCACGCCTGGCGCACGGCCTCGGTGGCGCTGGCGCGGGAGACGCCGCCGTCGTGGCCGTCGTCGGTGAAGAACGGCGCCAGGTCCACCACGGGGAGCGCACCGCTGGCCGCCATGTCCGTCGCGCTCTGGTGAGTGGTGACACGATTGGGAAGATGCCGCAGCGTACTATATGCTACCCGCTAGTAGACAAGGACCCAACGAGCCAATAGTAAAAAAAAAGGAGAAGGGACAACATCACAATCGTTGCGTCGTGGGTTGTTGACACGAGATAATTATGCGATGGCCGGCGGATGATATTCTTTTCAGGGACAACCTTGTTTTCTATATAAAACCTACTCCGTATTATACATGCACGTCCACAGTCACATGCAGCAGCAACACTGCAACTTGTTCATACTGATGTCCAGGAGCGATGGAGAGCGGAGGCTGGAGTATGTACTACCTAGATGGCATCAATTTCTCCACCAGAATCACTGGGAGAATCAAGAAGTGAAGCTAAAAACCAAGAAGGAAGCTCTGACAAACTAGCTCTAAAAACTAGAATCACTTGGAGAATCAAGAAGTGAAGTAAAAAAACCAGGAAGAAAAGCTCTCCAAACTAGCTCTAACAACTGATGATTGCACTTGCACGCGCATGCACCCACACTACTGAGCCTCGAGCATCATTGACTTCGAGTCAAAAAGGGGGGGGGGGGGCACCTGATCCATCGATGTAGCTGTGATTTCCCCTTTTGCTCGGACGAGAAAAGGAACCTCTGTTAGGAAAAACAAACGTTGACAGAACATTCTCATGCTTCTCCAACAAAAAGAAGAAAAATAAAATTTGCCTGGGACGACAGGGCCGACCAGCACAATGGGGAAAATAATTAAATTCCCTGGGCAGCCCACCAGGTCCAGACCACAGCTCCCTGATGGCCCACTAGCTCCCATGCGGCGTCACGGGCCTCGACGTTCGCCGGAAGCCGGCAGCCACGGTCAATTTGCGGCTGCGCCTCTTGTGCTCGCCCGGTCCCCGCGTCGAACGGTTCACGGTCGGAGTAACCGGAGGAGGGCAGAGGCCTCGTTGACTGTCTCGCTCGCCTATCGCCTCGCCTCCCCGTCCGCTCCGCTCCCGTGCTTTCCCCTTTGCTCGCTCGCGGACCCCCGCCCCCCTCCCAGCGGCGCACTCGCGCCAGCAAGCTCGAATCCGCACGCCGTCGCCGCCCCACGGCACCCAGGTAACCGTCTAACCCTCTCGGTTCCTCGAAATACTTCTCGGATCCCTTCTACCGCGCAGAGTTCGTCAGGAAACCGTCGTTTGATTCTGGGAGCTATGATTCGCGCCCTCTTCCTAGACGAGTAGATCTGGATTAGCCTGCGAGGACGACGACCCCAGTAGTTCGGCTGCTACCGCCGTTATTAGTCGCGCGGGGACACGGAAGCGTAGTCCTGCTTCTTCTCATGCCGCGGCACCCCTAATCGTGGAAGTCAAACAGTGACGACGATTACCCAGCGCTGCTCGTGCAGAGCTTAGCTGTAGCTTCGCTGTCTATTTGCTTGATATTGTTGGCTGCTGTAGAACTCTATATTTAGGGGCTTATGGCGTTACTGTCATGCAAATGGCAGTGTTTCCTGAACTGGCTAGCTTGCTTGTATGACACCTACAGTACTTGCCATTTCTGTATGCCCATGCTGCCATGCATTATCCGTGTGGTGTATTACTTTTTGTTGTGGGTGTTGATTGTGCTTGTTGGTCGGTGCATTACTGTTTTATGCGGGTATTGATTGTGCTTGTTGGCCAATTGTATCAGGATCAGGGTGTTTCTGGTGTGCAGGGGTGGGCGGTTGGCTTCTGAGAACATGTAACAAGTGTTGATATGAAAATAGGTTCCTGGAATAGTGGGTTCGTTAGCAGTTTGGCACAACCTTGAAGCTGCAGAGGATTTCAAATGCCCTTTGTCATCAGCTCTCCACCTCCATTGAGTCAGAGGTATGCTGCTGTGCTGGTTTTCTTTGACATCGATTTCATCATGCTTTTAGTTTCGAAATTTCTGCAGTATCTGTAAAATGCGGTTTTTGAATGCTTGATTTAGGGTCTGTATCCCTAATTCTGGTAGGATGAGTTATAGGCACTTATTTGTTGCCTCATTTTCTTCTAGCTTTCTTCAATCTAGTGAGCCTTGTGTATGAGGAAAAGAAACATTTTCTTCTAGCTTGATTTAGATGTCATGATTTTTTTGGGTGGCAATTCATTGCTACTGGTGGTGTTAGGACTTAGGAGTAGGATCCCTTTTGTAGATAAATGTAGGCACTTGAAGTGTATCGATATGCCTTATCAAATAAAAAGTGTATCGATATTTTTTCTTCTTATTTTTCTGTCCTATGGCCTGTGGTAGATGGGGGCAGATGTGTCCTGTTAATATTATATCTGCAGTAATGCTCTTAAGTGAAAGCATCCTTCTTGTCCTGCCATGTTCACTAATCTATGGAGTGTTTTTGTTTAGACTTTAGAGTATCTATGACGCATTCTGCCCCTATGTGATCCTGGAAGTTTCTGTAGGATGCTTATCTTATATTCCTGAATTTTCAGCTCTACTTGAATGAAAAGGTAAATAGAAGAAAATGTCATTGTTCTGACTTGCGAAAAATGTCTTTGTTTGACATATTAGCTATTTGAAGCCATAAAAAACATATTAGTAGTTCAAATTGTATAACCAAACTATCAAAGGGTTTCGTATCTGAAACCCTTTGATAGTTGCTAATGGTCTTGGGTATAAACCTGGGGGATTGACTTGAAGCTTGTGTAATTTCGTTGCTACCAGTACTGAAATTCGGCTCGTCCCTTGTGGAAAAATTCAAAGGGTTTCGTATCCGAAGGTTATATCAACTATTTATTTTAGTAACTTCCAGCATTATTATTTATCCTTTCCTTTGATATGTAGTTATGTACCTTCTGTGTTTGTTATCCCTTCTGGGTAATTCTGGCAACTAACTATTCCATTGTCATATCTGGCTAAATTTCCAGCATTTTTTATTGTATTTCCAACTTCCCCAAGGATGTTTGACAGCACTCAAAAAGCTCACTACATGGATGGGCACAGAGAAAAGTTTGTTAGGTTGGTTTATCTGTCTTAAGGACACTTTTACAATGTTTTTGCATTTATTCCTATTCTCTCTGGGAGTATAACATGTTTCATGTAGTATTGCCCATTTCCCCATACATATTGGAAATCCTATTTCTGAAAGATAATATTTCTGTACATCCATGGCTGCAGCAGTATTCCTAAGTTGTTCTTCCGATAGTTTACGATTTGCCCTCTTCAGCTTCAGCAAGTTCAAATTGTTATTGTTTTGTGGTACCCTAGAAATCTGGTTTTTATCCTAGTACTCTTTCATTGTTCAAATAGGTCTTTGCCGCTTTGCAAGCTAATAATTTTTGTCAGACTTGTGAGAGTTGCCTCATGTTGAGTGTTCAAGAGTGATAAAGTAGTAAATGTTTTTGTATAATGTCTTATAGACCTGAAACCTCTTGCACCGCATAGAATTTCTATGTTCTTTTGTGTTCACTGTTGGAGGTTTTTTTAAAAGATTTTAGTTGTATCACCATATTTTCTGTAGGCTGGAAGAGTCTAGTCCTAGGTCGTCTGTACCTTCTGAAGTGGGAGGCAGGAGTACCTTGAGGTCCAGCATGCCTGGGTTTGGTTATGGTTCATTTAATGCACTAAGGTCTTTCTTGTCAGGGTTCCACAAAAGCTCTGGAAGACTGAAGTCACTTGGACAGTCACTTACTTCTGGTGCTCCTAAGACAGCTTTTGCGGAAGATCTTAAATCATATAAGAGAACTATATTTGATCCCCAGGACAAAATTCTTTTTCGAATGAACTGGGTTTTCTTCTCGTCTTGTCTTTTTTCTGTTGCAGTGGACCCACTATTCTTCTTTCTACCCATCATCAACGATTCAAACTGCATTGGTATAGATAAAAAGTTGGCAGTGACATCAACAATAGTACGGACGGTTATTGATTTTGTCTACCTTATACGTGTGTGTCTTCAATTCCGCACTGCTTATGTTGCCCCGTCTTCACGAGTGTTTGGGACTGGTGAGCTTGTGATTGATCCAATGCTAATTGCAAAGCAATACATTAAAAGTTACTTTGCAATGGACTTTGTTGCATTGCTACCACTTCCACAGGTACATCTGCTTTCTCATGGTGTCAGATAATGTAATAATTGCTGTACCAGTTTTTTTGACATTTTTTAAGTGTCAGCATTTCTAATATCTAGTTCGTTTGGTTACCTTAGTACTTAGAAGTGGATGTTGGCAGTAATTGCAGATGTTCAGCAACCAAAGCTCTATCCTATTGTCCAGAATCAGTACAAGTCAGTTTCATTCGCAGAGAAGAAGCTGTGCTTTATAAACTTTCCGACCTGCATTTTCTTAGCTAGGAGGGTTTCTGATGATACTTTTGAGGTTCAAGTTCTGTTCTCTTTAGTTAGGAGGGTTTCTGATGATGCTTCGAGGTTCAAGTTTTGTTAAAATAAGTTTTGTTCTCCATATGATAGCCAGGAGCCCAGGACAACAATACGCTATAATATGCATTGACATCAGTAAAGAATTTCATTGTAGTCAACACTATTCCTTTGTTCTCCAAAATCCGAATTCCCAGAATCCAGTCGTTCATGTGGATAGCTTGTATGTTGAGATAGACTTGTAGTGGAGATTAACTTTATTAGAGATATAGATATAGATATAGACATAGATATGCGTTTAGTCAATATGAAGGGCAGGCCTGTTGCAGTGGTGAGAGCTGTCTCACTGAGTCACCAGGTCGTGGGTTCGAAGCAGCCTCTCCGCAGATTTTGCGGGGGAAAGGCTTGTCTCGGTTTATCCCTTCCCCAGACCCCACTCATGTGGGAGCCTCCGGCACTGTCTCTACCCTTTTATGCGTTTAGTCAATATTTGAAACATGAATTATTGCTTTTTCACTACCTTGCGTCCATGTGCAGCGTTACTTGCTCAAGCCTTGATACTGTTACATGCATGCATAAGACCATCCCAATTGCTAGCTTTATGATCTTTCTACTCACATTCGGAAACTTCCTTGGTTCTAATAATTTCCCAGCTTACCTTAAACTATCTGTTGGTGGTTGACAGATTGTTGTTTGGAGATATCTCAACATTCCAGATGGCCCAGATGTACTGACTACAAAAACTGCACTGGTTTGGGTTGTTTTGATTCAGTACATTCCAAGGTTGTTTCGAATATTCCCTGTGACCACAGATTTGAAAAGGACAGCTGGTGTTTTTATTGAAACTGCTTGGGCTGGTGCTGCTTATTATCTTCTATGGTTTATGCTGGCTGGGCATGTAAGTGCTTCCATAAGCTATGTACTATCAATTATATTTTCCACATTCCTTACTCATCAGAAGCAGGCAGCAGTAATGAGGTCGATCTTTGACTACAATATCAGTGATATCTACCTGAGATTGTCCTATGTTCTAAATAACTGATGACTTTAAAACTTTTAGTTAAAAAATTGTGGTACATATTCCAGTCGAAACTGTTTGAAACTTTGAATCCTTCAGCCATTATGTTAGTTCTTAGATGTAAATCAGATCTTGTGTGTATATTTTAAACATCATCATCTTTGTTTAATTGATTTTCAAGGAGTTTCCTTTGTTGACTTATGTAAAAGAAATACTCGCTGTCAGCACTATACATCAAGATTGTTTCCCGTAGGTTTCTATCAGCAATCATGTTTCCCATGGCTTATGCTGCACCTTTTATACATGTTATCTGTGGCACAAGAAAACTCATTAGTTTGCATTCGTTCATTGAAACAGCCTCTTGCAATTTTCTGTTGGTGTTTACATATCCCCCATGACTTATGCTGTAGTTTCTATATGTATTATTTGCTGCAGAATGTCGGTACTTTATGGTATTTTTTAACCATAGAACGTGAAGATGATTGCTGGCATCTGTACTGTGATCCCAACGTTGGATGTAATAGCAGCTACTTGTATTGCAATAATCATCATCATGGCAGCTATGATAGTTGGCTTAAGACTAATGGTGCCCAAGTATTCAACATGTGCAATGGTAGTCAAGATAATTTCAACTTTGGCATTTATCAGCAAGCACTGGTCTCCGGAATACTTTGTCCAGGAAATTTCATCTCAAAATTATGTTATTGCTTCTGGTGGGGATTGCAAAATCTAAGGTACTTCATTGCTGTTGTTTATGATACTTTTCATGACGCAGAATTTAAATGTGTTTGGATAATCCTGAAGCTGAACAATGTCCATAAAATGAGCACGGCTTGCTAGAAATACAAGTTTGCTTTTCATCTGGCCTTAATAGGATATTAAATTCAATTTGTCACCTTTTTCTAAAGAAAAAAAAGTAATCTATGTAGCTAATGCAGCTATTTTTTTTTTGTTTTGTACACAATAGTCAATTGAGATACAACTGCAGTAAATATGTGGGAAGTAATTGAGAATCTTAAGGCCCTATGAAGGAGGTTATGGTGTTCATAATACACTGTATTTCACGTGCATTGTAATAGATGGAGTTGCACATATAAATCCAATAATCAATATAGATCAATTTTCTTCAAGGTGCATAAAAAGGTGATTTGGTTCTGTTTAGCATGTGCTCTAGGATTGGTAACTGTGAGTAAAATCTGTTTTTGTAGTTAAAATCTGTCCAATGTATATCTCTATTTTTTGAGCATTATATTTTTTGAGCTAAAATTATTAATAAAGCTGCAAAGTACTGCAATGATGTGGTAACTTACAGCATTAGGCTGCCCTTTCTTTTAATAGGCTAACCCTCTGCAGGGTTCACAAAAACTAAATCCTTAGCCCTAAACCCTCTACAGGGTTCCATGTTTTCAAGACTAATAGCGGGCGAGCTATAGTAACAGCTGGAAAGTGGTGGTTGTATTTTGTCTATGTCTAACAGAATGGTATCATCAATGCTTACGAAAGAGTGAACCACATATGAGTGGCCAATCCGGGATAGAATCAGAAGCTGATCGGTTTGTAGCTTTCCTTAGGTTCAGGACTTCACATTTAGGTTATGTGAATTGGGTTCCTGTACTTGGCTGTTGAAATATGCATTCTAGCTGTTGTAGGTTCACAAGATTGGCTGTCATCATTATATGTTCTACTTCAGAGCACATTATGCCTGCTATCTTAATTTCCATTCCCATTTGACAGTACACTTGGTCAAGGGCTTTTGACAAGCACATACACTGGAGAAGTGATATTCTCTATAGCAATATGTGTCCTTGGACTAATTCTTTTTGCTCTCCTCATTGGTAACATGCAGGTAGAGTGATATATTGTTTCCCTTTTATTCTTTTATAAGCCTTTCCTCTTTCTTTGCTTGATTCCGAGTTGAATTCCTACAGAGGTACCTACAATCTGTTGCTATACGCCTTGAAGAGATGAGAGTTAAGAAACGTGATGCTGAACAGTGGATGCATCACCGTTCACTGCCACCGGAAATCAGACATCGGGTGAGGAAGTATGAACGTTATCGGTGGTTGGAAACCAGGGGAGTAGATGAAGAAAGTTTGGTTCAAACTCTTCCGAAAGATCTTAGGAGAGATATCAAGCGTCATCTTTGTTTGGGCTTAGTGAAAAGGGTCTGTTATGGCTGCTCAAGCTATTGTTTTCTGCTTTGTTCAGTCATTTCCAGTTATTTAATATTCTCATTTCGTTTTTGCTACTGATAGGTGCCTTTGTTTGAAAATATGGATGAACGATTATTGGATGCAATATGTGAGCGGTTAAGGCCTGCACTCTACACAGAAAATGAATTCATTTTGAGAGAAGGTGATCCAGTGGATGAGATGCATTTTATTCTTCATGGTTGTTTGGAGAGTGTAACCACTGATGGTGGACGAAGTGGATTCTTTAACAAGGTCCAGCTAAAGGAAGGATCATTCTGCGGTGATGAGTTGCTCACTTGGGCATTGGATCCCAAGTCAGCTGCTAATTTTCCAGTTTCGAGCAGGACTGTCAAGGCACTCACTGAGGTTGAGGCGTTTGCCCTATGTGCAGAAGAGCTGAAATTCGTGGCCAGTCAGTTCAGGAGGCTGCACAGCAGGCAAGTACAGCACACATTCCGATTCTATTCCCAGCAATGGAGGACCTGGGCAGCCTGCTTCATCCAAGCGGCATGGCGTCGCTATTACAAGCGGAAGATGGCAGAGCAGCGGCGCAAAGAAGAAGAGGCAGCAAGCCGGCCAAGTAGTAGCCACCCTAGCCTTGGGGCGACTATCTACGCATCTCGTTTCGCGGCCAACGCCATGCGAGGGGTTCACAGGCTAAGAAGCAAGGCTGTCCCTACCATTGTCAGGCTACCGAAACCCCCAGAACCAGATTTTAGTGTCGACGATGCTGACTAACGAAACAATCAATTGAACTCGCTTGTAATTGTACTTTTTACCTCGTCTGTAGATTATGTACAAAATTCAATGACAGCTGCAGAAGACAATGTTTGTAAAGGTTTGTAACCACGCACAGACAGACCATAACGGAGGTATATCCTGCTTGACGTCTATGGAAATGCAAATGTATTACATTTTTGCTGATTATATGAGTCCAAAGTTTGCCAGCCGGAACCCGTATCGTCTGTGTGTGCAGTTATCTTTTGTTTCCTTCTGCGAAACCCTAGAGACAAATTGGGACATGAGAAAGCTAAACTATGAAATTTTGAAAATGAAAATCCTAGAGATGGATTGGGACATGAGAAACCTAAATAAAATATTTATAAATCATGAGGATATATTTATAAGCTTCTAGCAATTAGATTTATCTCTAGAAAAACTTGGAAAATTTTCAAAACATTCTGATGAATGTCTAAACATATTAAAAAAATCACAATAAAAATATGAGAGGCCAGCATGAATGCAACATACATGAATGCTAAATGAATTCATGCTTCTTGTATCTCATTTTTTTATTGTGAAGTTTTTAAAACGTGCTTTGACACTTATTAGGATATTTTGGGAGTTTTCAGATTTTTTTGATTTTTTTTCCATTTTCTAGAGTCAAATCTAAAGCTTTGAAATATATTTTCATGAGCTTTTTACTGTTTGGGTTTAATATTTTTCTCCAGAATTTTTGTAAGCTTATAGATATTTTCCGTGGTTTAAAAACCTTATCAATTGTTTACTGGATTGATGAAACCACTTCGAAAAGCACTTCTAACAAGGATATTCAGCTAATTTAAATGGTTGAGTGTTGAAGGAGGCAGTTTGTTCTGACTGTCTCCAACGGCGTAGGTAAACCACGACCCAAACGCAAAATGGCTAGTGTACAGTGTTTTGGGTCCCGAAATCACGGTCCAACGGAGAACGCAAACACGGCAGCCATTTTGCGTAGCATCCAACTTGGAAGGCAAAAAAGCGTCGGCGTTCTCGACGACGCAAAACACTGCAGAGAGAGGAAGACGCACGGAGTCACTCCGGCGTCCGCGCGCACGAGAGTCACCGGAGGAAGACGCAGCGGTGTGTCGGGGATCCTGTCGGCGGCGGCAGCACCGGCGGGTGGAGGTGGTGGCACGTCCACGAGCGAGACCTGCACTCATGCCCATTCACGCCGGGCGACGGCAAGTGCGGCCTCCTCGGGAGGCGCGCCGAGGCGTCGGGGTCGCGGGCTCGGAGCCGACGGAGGGGAGGATGAAGCCGCTGCCATGGGCTCGGAGCCGACAGAGGGGGAGGAGGGAGCCGCGTCCGCTGGGGCTCCGGCCGTCGGCGGCGGCGCATCCTCCAGATGCGGACCGAAGTGGAGGTGGCGGCCGTTGGAGAAGGAAGGGGATGGGTCAGTGACCCATTCATTGTGCCGAACCCAAATACCTAAATGGGTCACCGATTTAGGTATGACCGGTTGGAGATAGTCTAGAGGTAGAGGGAAAAAATCTAGACTTACATAAATGTTTTTAGACCTAGACTACTATAGGAAGTTAAAAATGTTTTTTTCCAAATAGGCCTATCACCAGCAGCCGGTTTGGGAGGGGCGGGCCAAGTGCCACTGCGCCATCTGCCCATCTCTAGTCGCGGCACTGTAGGACCCTCGGCTATTCGGCTGCCTCCGGCTCTGCTTTCTGAGATGCTCTCCCTCGTCCGGCGGCACCGCCGCCTCGCTCTCCCCTTCTCCACTCTGCACGCGCCCGCGCCCGCGCGCGCCTCCACCCCCACCCCGCCCTCCTCTCTCGACGCCTCGGCGGTGCTCGAGACGCTGTCCCTCTACGCCAACGACTGGCGCCGGGCGCTCGACTTCTTCCACTGGTCCGCCTCCCCCGCCGGCGCCAACTTGCCCCCGACCGCCGCCACCCTCGCCCGCGCCATCGACATCCTCGGCAAGCACTTCGAGTTCCCGCTCGCCACCTCTCTCCTCCTCTCCCACCACGATCCAGAGGACCCCGCCTTCCTCCGCCCCGCGCTCCGCGCCCTCCTCAACCGCCTCGCCGCCGCCAATCTCGTCGACGACGCCCTCCGCGCGTTCGACTCCACCGCCGCATCCATCGGCCTCCGTGACGAGGCCTCCTTCCACCTCCTCGTCGACGCGCTCTGCGACCACCGCCGCGTCGACGAGGCCGACCACCTATGCTTCGGCAAGGACCCGCCGCCGTTCCCGCCGGGCACGAAGACCCACAACCTGCTCCTCCGTGGGTGGGCTAAGACCCGCGCCTGGGCACGCCTCCGGCAGCTCTGGTTTGACATGGACCGCCGCGGCGTTGCCAAGGACCTCCATTCCTACTCGATATACATGGATGCCCTTGCTAAGTCAGGCAAACCGTGGAAGGCCTTCAAGATTTTCAAGGAGATGAAGCAGAAAGGAGTTCGAATCGATACTGTTGCTTACAACACCGCGATCCACGCTGTTGGGCTCGCACAGGGCGTCGACTCTGCTGTAAGGTTGTACAGACAGATGGTTGATGCTGGTTGCAAGCCGAATACTGCCACTTACAATGCGATTGTCAAGTTATTCTGCAAGGAGGGCAGGTTCAAGGAAGGGTATGCGTTTGTTCAGCAGATGCACAAGACTAGCTGCAAGCCCAACGTGCTCACATACCATTGCTTTTTCCAGTATTTGAGCCGTCCACAGGAGGTCCTCGGACTGTTTGAGAAAATGCTTGAGAGGGGTTGCCAGCCAAGGATGGACACATATGTCATGCTTATTAAGAGGTTTGGGCGCTGGGGGTTCCTTCGGCCAGTGTTCATTGTGTGGAAGGCAATGGAAGAGCAGGGTCTTAGTCCAGATGCATTTGCATACAATGCACTTATTGATGCATTACTGCAAAAGGGTATGGTGGATTTGGCTAGGAAGTATGATGAGGAAATGCTTGCGAAGGGACTCTCACCTAAGCCAAGGAAAGAGCTGGGGACTAAGTTGCTAGAAGCAGAGTCTGATAGTGATAACGCATTAAACGGGGTGCTTTGATTTCTGAGATCTAGACAGGGATGGACATTATATTGTTCTACTACCCATTGCTATAGTTGAAACAATGATTTGAATATGCTCATGTTCCCAAATATTGGCTGCTTTTTATTGAAGGAGATCTAATATGAATTCATGGATTTTATAAGGAATTGAAAGCAGACTGAATCATATTGCATATTGCATTGCCATCAATTATCATTAGGTTATTATCTGAAAAATCTGTGGAAGAGCTGGGCCTCCAGAGATTTATGTGTTCCTGGAATCATACGTGGACATGGTCACATGTGTTGGAAAAAGAATTGTGATATGCTCATGGGCCTCCACCAAGTTGACATAAGAAGTGGATGAGAGGACCAAGAAGAATCAGCAATGAAGCAAAGCCCATGTAGTTTGTAAAAACTATGGTCCCTATTCAGGCAGGTTGAGCTTGTTAAATAGCCTCATGGTGAAACCTGGAGCAGGAATACTGGATGTATTTATTCAGCCAAGTCGGCATATCAGACCCAATTTTGTATTACTGAGTTAAATTTGGATGGTACCTGAAACGCAAAACTTCAGATGAAATGCAGATCTTCATGTGGTTGCTCCTTCAGTGCAGTCTTCACAGCAGACAAACTGCTTGGAAGGGGATGGATGGCAATCATGGCATGCAAACTCACTTGTTAGATCTCTTGTTAGCAACATGAACCTGGTTCTCCTTTGATTATTAACTGGCTGTTCGTAACAGTTTAGGCATGCAGTGGCAACTTGGTCAGGTATAGATTTTCTTGAGCCTTGAAATGCTTCACAAAATCTGAGAAACTGATGACACAGCTTGCCAAGGGAAGTACCATGCAGGCCCATGAGGAGAAATTCAGAATATATACTTTTGAATGTTTGGAAAGAAAATGCAAATTTCTGAGTAGTTTGGAGGACATTGGCAATTGGCATGCCACGTACTGTGTTGTCAACACCACAGCAGGAATAGGAGGAAATTTCTGTAGGAAGTCCGCGTCGCTGGCTTTGCTTACTGTTGTCAAGCTTTTCAGTATTGTCTCTTTCTTTTCTTTTTTCTTTTCTGGTTCCAGTTTTCTTAGCTGATACATTAGCCATGCCACATACCTTTGTAATTTGACTCCCTTCAAAGAATCGGCAGAGAACTTGCCATTTTCCGCTAAACAAAGACCAAAGTAGTTGAGGAAGGACTTGTTAACAATGTGTAGTTTCCATGCACTTGGGAGGAAGATTTATGTTGGAAACTTCTAAAATGTTAGATGCCTTGACTAGGAGTTTGATGATAACAAGTGAGATGGAATGAGTAGTAGTTCCTCCTAGCATTATCAGTGAGTCATTATATCGTTGCTTCCTGAGAATCCAAGAAAGGATATATAGGACATCAATACATCTTAATGCAGTTATCTTTCCAGGTGTAGGAAAATGCAGCACTTTCTTCCTGGCACCTGATATTAGCGACAATTAACTTTCTCCATGCTGCTACCATACATTGCCTTTCTCCTAGATCAAGCTACTACCATAGCATGTTCAACGTCTTCGACTTCCTTCTCCTAAGATCACCTGGGACACCCTAACTCTCTTTCGTTGCTTCCTTCTCCTAACATCACCTGGGACACCCTAACTCTCATTCTTTGCTTCCTTCTAACATCATCTGGGACATGCAGAAAAATAGGTTCAGTGTATGTTTTTTTTTGTCTCTATAGTATTGTACTGTATTCTGACATACGAATGACTCTGATTGCAGGCAATCATGTATGAAATTGTTGCCAGATTGTTCAAATATGTTCTTTTTTTGTCTGTATATAGTATTGTACTGTACTATGACATACGAATTACTGATTCCAGTCAATCATGTATGAAATTGTTGTCAAATCGTTCAAATGTAAATGCATGGACCCTATGTAGTACGATCCTATTGAATCTGTATGTGACATGCATAATCTTGATGGCAACCAGACGATCGACCATGTGTCTCCACTCACTCTCCAGGCGTACATTTGTAGGTCCATGCATTCCGCTGTGCTGCTTATTGCTTGTATCAACTTATCCACCAAACTGTCGACAGCCTCACCAGAACGGCAGCGTGCTGTTCCTGCTGCCTTGTCCGGCCACGGGCACGTAAGCACGGCCTGCTCCCGATACGCTATGGGGCGCTCATCTCATGGCCTCCATGTCTGCAGGCGCGCGTACCGGCAGCTACCGCACTGTCTCCCGGGCCCAACGACACGACTTGCCTGAGATCGAGACGGGTCCTGCACGTCCGCGTACCGTGTACGCGCGCAGGTGATCGAGCTAGCTGCAGGTCGCGTATCGCCGATGAACCGTACCGTTGCACCTGTGGCCTGTTGGGGGAAAATCCGTCTGGCCGTCGGCCGCGCGGGGCCAGGCCGGGGGCCGGCCGGCGTGGCTGGAACCGTCCGTGCGGTCCGTATCGGCCGGGACCGGAGCATGCATCGATCGGGAGAGCAACGCAGTAATGGCGCCGTGCCGACGGCCTGGGACATGTCGACGACACGCGAGGCCCGCGGGGCCGCGACCACGGCGCGTGCGTGCGCACGCGCATGCAGCGATGGGCGCCTCCGGCCGATTCGATGCGCTGGATGGCGCCAGCGGCCGTGCGTTAACGACTTTGTCCCCGGACAGGGCGGCGTGAGCGCGGGGCGACAGCGCCGCGGCCGCGCCCAATGGGCGATGGGTCATGGCCAACGACCCGTCGGTAAGGGCGGTAGTACAGCGAGTCGGCGTCAGCGCGCGGCGCCGTGGAAAACGAACGCGCCTGCTGGGTCTCAGGCCTCACTGTTGCGTGCGCCGCCGGGCTCCACGCACGGAAAGGTCGACCGGCCGGCCGGCTCGCCACCTGAGACGTGTGTTCACACGAGCCCTCGTTGTCATATCAGCATCGGATCTGCGTGAATGGTGATCTAGGTGTGTCTATCTCGATGCACGACATGAAAGGATCGATGATAGATACTGGAGCTCGATCGATCTCCGTGGTGATTACACGCTTACGGTGACTAATTCAGGCAGGCAATGGCGTGCGACGCCGTCGCGACACGGCGTGGCACGGCCCGCGCCGGACACGTTCCTTTTGGCCGTCTGTCGACGGAGCAAGCCGCCTGCCGGGGCGCCGCGGTCGAAAGCGGCCTAGTATCATGCCGCCGACCCGCCGTACGGCTCGCTAGGTAACCGCCATCAAGACCCATATGGCCACTTGCATGCCTGACCGCGAGCCACGACGACGACGGTGATCGATCTGCAGCCGTTCGGCGGCCGTAAACGATCGTGGATTATTTATTACTGGCTGGCTAGATTAGTGTGAGAGAAAAATATTATTCCAGCTTATAATCCACGATCGTATACGAGCAAGTGACACGGTCTCCAAAGCATAACTGTGACTTTTTATTTTTATCAAAATATTTTATTGAAAGTGATATATGTATATGTTTATGAAGTATTTTTCAAGACAAATCTATTCATATGATTTTTCACATTTCTAAACTCAACAACTTAAAAGTTATTCATGATTTATATTTCCAATGTTTGACTCAAGCCTTATCCAAAATGATTTTTTTAGGAACCTAGAGGGAGTATCTAGATAGTACATCTAAGCGTATAGCAAAAGCTATGTATTTAGAAAAGTCAAAACGTCTTATAGTTTAGAATGGAGAGAGTACATCTGACTAATAAATAATTACATATACTAAATCTATGTTTTTTTTTTTTTTTTTTTTTGTTCTAATAGGATAGACATAATAGATACTCTGTAGCTATATCTAGTCATCATAAACTTATTAATTACTATTTCTTCAAGGAACTACTCTATATTTTATTTATTCATATTCATATTTTTTCTTTCCATGGCACCTCTATATATATTTTCCATATGCAATTACTTTAAAACCTTACCATTAATCATGGTGGCTCTTATTGCATCATGTATCTTATGAAGTCATGAATTTAGATTTTGATTTTTTTTAAAATATTCTTATTGAGTGCTGTAGATTTTTTTCCTCCTTAGGTTAAGTTGAAACTCTTGTTCTTATTGTATCTTTCATTAACTCTCCTTTTTGCACTTTTTAAATAAGGATTTTAAGTCATAGAGTATGTTCTTAAGTGCTACAATAGTATAAGCCATTATTCGAAACATGCAACATATCACTTAAGATAAGTCATAGAGCTTGAAGTGAGATCTCGAATAGGGGTAGCATAGCTAACCTCAAGAGAATTTTAATACTTAAATCTTATAATGATTGAATTTCTACTCTAAAATATTCTTAAAGGGCCAGAAAATGTAGCCACCAATGGGCTTCCACACTTCTCAAGATGATTGAATTTCCCTATCAATAAACTATATTTGCAGTTGTGGTTATACTATCAATATAGGCATGTCAAACGTTTTAGCTAAAATATATCAATATATCTAAAGTAGCAATCTATATAAATTATATGTTATGGTTACTAATATGGTTTTAAATAATTTGTTAGTATGATTAGTATATGAGTTGTTACGAAAATATCTTTTATACGATGAAACATAACATATGTATTTTATTGCTCATGCATGTTGGCAGGACGCATATATTAACTTTAATTAAAGCTTACTGTATTAATATTGATAGAGGCGGGTAATATAGAAATATATATATACTCTATTCATTATCTAAACAAATTTTATGTAGTAGGAGATGTTGATAATTAGATGTAGATTTGAGGGGGTATTTAATTTTTCTAACAATGGGATGAAATTTGAGTTATGCAATTTATTGATCATAATAAGAGGGCGTCGTTTATTAAATGCAAATTTAGGTGTAGTTTTAGATCATGTTTGTTAACCACATATGTAGGTAATATAAATTAGAGTCATGAGTTAGGTTATATTGTTTCACACAATATCAGAAGCAGATAATTATTTAGAAAATAAAATAGATCCAATAGTTATTATTATTATTATCAATGGTGATTAGGTATACCTATTTGATGGTAAGATTTTTTTGATTCTTATGAGA